AGGCCAGATTTGAACTTATGTTTTCCTGTACAGTGCTCTATCCATTCTGCCATCTAGCAACTTACAGAAGATAATATAACAAACATTTCTTAATTAACTACTTTGTGCAGAGTATGGTACTAGAGAAGATACCAAGCTTAGGCAAAAATGCAGTACCTTGGAGCAGTTCATTCTAGTATAGGAATAAGATAAATACCAGTGACTACAAGAGAGTAGTATAAGGAGGATCTGGGTTTTTTGTTATCAGACCACAACCCATCCAAGGAGGGGGAGGTGTTACCTGAGGCACAAAGAGGTTTGAGTGACCTGCCTGGGGTCACGCCTTACAGGTAGAATTTAAGCCCAGATTTTCTTGGCTAAATCCAAGACTCTTGCCTATGATTCCTTTCTGCCTTTGTACTATGGTGTCATAAGATGAGTGTATATGAGGCCTCAGGGTAAGTGGCAGTTGGAGGTTCAGAGAAGAGGTAGCTTTTGAGTTAGACAAAGAGAAGGGAGAACATTCTAGGCTTAGGCCTAAGTGCCGCTCCAAGAGAAAGAAGGCAGAAAGGCCCACAGTAAAGTTTGTTTCCTCCCTCCTGCCCTTCCTTTTTCTTCCTAAAATTGGCTTTGTGGAAAACATCATCTTATTAGAGGAAATAGGCAATTAGTATGGAATGCTTTGGGAAACTTACAGAATATCCAGGTTCATTGTTGATGATTTGACCCTTCTCTCTCCAAAAAGTGTGACATCCAAAAATAACAACTTTTTGGTAGAGTCAACAAGGAACAGTAAAAGGCGTGTTGGATTTGGAACCATGGAAGCTTGGCTCAGATCTCAATTCTGCTACTTAATATCCATCTGATCTTGGACAAGGCACATGACTTACCAGGGCTTCAGTGTATAAATGAAAGTGTCTGCTGAAGACCTCTGGGACACCTTCTGGCTCTAAATTTATAATCCCCAACACCTATATGATGTATTGACCTTCAGCCCCTCTCTTTGTGAAAGAATGTAGATGGACATGGGAAGAAAAATATTCAGTGGAGAGGTAAAGTTTTAGCTGCTTTCAATGCCTTCTACTGGCTCTACGACACTGTTCGCTGTCCCAGTGTCCTACAGTTGTCTCTCTAGAAGGCAGATGACTGGTTTGAGGAGAATTTCTGAACTTGTTCCTCAGTTTCCTTCATTGTTGTTCATTCCCCAACTACAAGTTGAAGCTTAGTTTTCTCCCTGCCTTTCTTCAGTAGCTTAACTTCCAGTTATTTGAGTTTCCATAGAGCTCTAATTGATCAATATTTTCCTAAGTCAGTCATTCAGGGAGGCAACCATGGCCTGTGATTGATCTCCTCTTACTCTCCTGGCTCATTGCCACTCTCATTATTCTCCAAATTTCCCTATTGTCTCAAATCTGCTGCAGCCAGCCTGAAGTCTAGGGGAGAAATGTTTATCACTTAATTACACATTAAGAGCACAGAATAAGTCACCTTCCAAATATTCAGCATTGAGTATTCCAAAATGATACCAATTGTGAAAAAAAAATTATAATAACTCATTTACTTTTTAGCAGCTGCTTAATTAAGACTTTCATGAACTAATATGAAAGTTAACCAGAAATCAATGTTCTCATGAGTTTACCGTCACATTACAAGCTAAAATGTCTTTGAGCAAAATAGCATCAGTATTATAAAGCTCTAATTAAAAAAAAAAAGGAATAATTCTTTTCTTACCTGCAATGACCTTATGTACGCAGGCCTAATCTTCCAGAGAGAAAAAAACATCTTCTCAAATTCTTCTTGCTATCAGACTCCTGGCAAAAGAACTTCAGGATCTCACAGACACTGCAATGTGCCTTAAGTTGACATTTAATGAAATATGAAACCAAATTTAGTTTTTTTGGGACTTTCTATCCCCTAGTACGTTAAAAAGCAATATCAGAGTGAGCAGGCATACAGTCTCAAACAAATATCCTTTCTGACTTGATACAATTCCTTTCATAAGCCGTGTACACTCCACAGTCTTATCAGTCTCTAAAACTTCAGTCAAGTGCACAGGCTATCATATGTGATCCATCTGGAAGGCTTAGCTGTTGGCAGAAGGGCTGAACCTTTGGGCTCAGGGCAAGATGTGTTCATGAGGCAGTGGTTCTGCCCAGGGCTAAATCCCTTCAGAAGAGATGTACTCTTTATTGGTCCTACCATTTGCTTAATCAGGTAGACAAAAAACAAAAACAAAAAGCAACCAATGCCGAGAGTGTGGGGAAAGAATTTCTTAAGTTAATCATTCAGTCAATTCACTACAATGTATTCAGAGTGTCTCCTGTGCCCCTCCTCTCCAATTAACTAAGAATTGACATAGAATATAAACTGGGGATTGGAGAAATAGTTTACATTGCCAAATAATCTTTGGAAAAATGATGTCTAATATTTGTGGATGGAAACAGATAGACAAGAGAGCCTTATTTTCTACCAGCTTTGCTTGATCCCATTTAAATCTGTTATCCAGTGCTTATCACTTCATAGGTTCCAAACCCCATTGTTATTTACTCAGGCCAGACTCTTATTGAGAGTAATAGGAATTCTGCCTTTGGAAGGACAAACTGGGCTTCTAGTCACCTGCCTTTAAATTGATTTATATGCCATAAACCAACAACATGATTTTGCTACAGATCAGAAAGAAAGATGGAGTTGATTCTGAAAGAACACAAACTGAAAAATGTCTCTCCGATGGCTTTAAAAAAAGCCAGGGGAAAATGTGTGTGTGTGTGTGTGTGTGTGTGTGTGTGTGTGTGTGTGTGTGTGTGTGTGTGTGTGTGTAAATACTGACTCCTTCCTCATTACCCCTAGGAATGCACTGGAACCTGGGCTTCCTGCTTAGGATGCCACCTGTAGATCTGAGCTTTGGGGACAGCCTTCCTTCAAGGAGAAGCAACTTTAAAAGGAGGTCTTTAGAAAGCTTTGCCCTTTACTTAACACAAATGGGAAAAAGAACTGAGAACTCCTGACCCTAGTCTAGGTTTTATTCCAACCCTCCTACCCCACCTTACTTTCCATTATTTTGGCCATGGTAACCTCCTGCATTGTGGTTACAGGTTATCAGTTTAGACTTATTTCATACCACTCCCTGCCACCTACTCTATGTTTTTGTAAGACTGGATCATGTGACCATTGATTTAGAACTAGAAGTTTCCTTAGAGGGTGTCCAGTCCAAACCTTGGTCATTTTACAGGTGAAGAAACCTTTGACCCAAGAAGTAAAGTAACTTGCCCAAGTTCTCTCAGGTAGTAAATGGCAGGATCTGGATTCAAACTCAGATCCTTTGATTTCAAATCAAATATCCACTACTATGAGCCAAATGGCACAGTTTCTATCCCCAAGTCTCATTCTGCCCTCTTCTGTTGCCCTTATATCCCTCTCTTTCTGACCCTTCCTTTCCCTGGGAATGATTTGCTTCCTTTTTCCTTGGGTTGAAACTCCTTCCTTCAAGAGTCAACTCAGTTACCACTTCCTCTTTTGTAGCCTTCCCCCATTACTCTCCACCTCCCCAGAAGTGATCTCTTTCACCAGATTTTCAATCCTGAAACTTTTCTCACTACCAGACTTGTTTGCTCATGTGTTCTGGGCTATGTTTTTTTAAATCTATCTTTGCACCTTCAATATAGTACTTAGAACATAGCAGATGGTTAATAATATTTGAGGAAGTTAATTAAAGTCTGGGCAGCTCAGATTATCATATTTTTTAGAGTGAAGCCTTTTAAGGTTTAAGGATTATCAGTGGTGAACAAGAGTTAATCTGCTAAACAAAATCCCAAAGGGGAATTGGGGATAAATTAATCACACTTTAAAACCTACAACCTCAGGGAATTGAAGGGTGTGACCTTGCTTACTTCAACAGATATTTTCTTATGTCTTTGTAACCTCAGGACCTGGTAAAGGGAAGGGCACACAGTAGGCATTTCATATTTGTTGGATTGTGTTGTGAAGAAAAGAGATTGAACAGTCATATGCAAATGTAATTTACTGTTATTAATTTTTGGATTAACTTCTATATTTGTTATAGATTATGGGAGCTCTGGGAGTCCCAGAGAAGGGAAATAAATTCTTCAACCAACAGCTATCAGATTCAAGAATCAAACCCAAGTTTTCATATTCCAAATACAGAGTTCCTCTTCTGTGTCTGTGTGATTCTGTTTACCCTTGGTGATGGGCACAGTGGTGGCATCAGGAAGGGTGGGGAAAAAGAGGGAAATGAGCAATGAGTGGTACAAAGGGCTCTGTTACCTTTCCAGAGATTTTTTTTCCTCTCTGCTTATTTAGCTCCAGCCCTAACTCTGAAAACCCAGGACGCTGAAGAGATATAATTTAGAAGACACTTTAGAACTCATCAATTACAAAAATGCTCATGTGATTAGGTTCTTCCATAATCAATCATTCAATCAACATTTATTATGCTCCTACTATGTGATAAGCACTGTGCTTTCCATAGAGAGAGGAGAGGTTCTGGAAGCAAGAATTCCCAGTCCTCCTCTTTCCCTGTCCAGGGGCTCTGCTGATATTGTACCTGTGTCAGTACTAATAGTCTGAGTTCCTCCCTTAGTATGCAATTTCTTCCTGTTAGATTCACTGAAGTTTCGCCTTAGAATCCCTGGCTTTTGATTAGCTGTCTCTCTTCAGATCCTTTCTCCCCTTTCCTCACCTTTCTCTTCAGTTACCTTTGTGTAAAGAGCTGCTTAGCTGTTTCTCCACTGCCCCCACCTTCTCTCTCTCTCTCTCCCTACTGGTGACTCAATATACTCCGAGCCATACTTGTATTTCAATATCCCAAAGTAATACACTGATTGGAAGAGATAATGTGTACAAATCAAGCACATGCTAACAAGCTTCCTTTTTATTAATCTCTCTCTTTTTTCCTTATGTTTCTCCTTTCTTTCCCCTCCCTTTTTAATTGACTATCTGCTTGTCCTTGCTAGGAGGCGGGCACAGTAGACTTGGAGTCAGGAATTTCTGAGTTCAAATCCTACCTCACTTAATGGCTGTGTGTCCCTCTTTGCCTCTTGCAGCAGCATCTACCTCACAGAATTCTTGTTAGGACCTAAAAACATGTCACAAACCTTAAAGGTTAATAATAATAATAATAATAATAATAATAATAATAATAATAACAATAAGTATTTATGTTGCTCAGTTATTTCAGTTGTGTCCAACTCTTTGTGACCACATTTGGGGTTTTCTTTGCAAAGGCTGGAGTGGTTTGCCATTTCCTTCCTCAGTTCATTTTATAGATGAAGAAACTGAGGTAAACAGGGTTATGACTAGCTCAATGTTCTCCAGTTACAATGATCTTAGAATTCACTTGTGTAGTAGGAAGTCTCTAGTGAGTTTTCTTTCATACAGAGGAGTTATGTCATTTTATACTTAGGTGGAAAACCAAGTTTAAGGGCAAAAGAACTTTCACGTGGCCCTGTATAATTTCATTAGTCAAAACCACAAAGGAGTAATAAAGCCCCCTTAAGGAGGTTGTACAGATGGGCAAAATAGCCTTGGTGACTCTGCCAGTTTTCACTTGCGTGCACCCTACATGGAAAAGGGGTGGGGTGGGGGTGGGGAATATGAACTGAAAGTATCATCACCCCCATTTTACAGATAAGGAAGCTGAGAAGACAGATGAAGTGATTTGTCTGTGGTCAAAGGAGTAAAATTTATGGCCTGGTATATACCAAGTAGTCTGAACCAGATTAAAATGTAATTGGGAAGTGTTTGACAAAATAAATAAAAATATATTGCAACATAGATGATTAATTTGTGATTTTCAAAGTCAAGATGTGCCCACAGGGATCGCTTTCTATTTGAATTCAATTTGAATTTGAATTTACTGATTGTTAAGTATCTGAGTCAAGATTAAAACCTAGGTCCCCTGATTCTAAGTCTACTCCCTACTCTGTACTGCCTTGATGAGTTCTGAAGTTGGCTGAATATTGGGGAGTTGTGGTCAGGGACAGCTTTTGGGGTCACAAGTTCTGTTTTGGATACATTCTTTGATTTTTTTTTTCTGGTCAGTGGCATGGATAGAAGAAAGATTTCTTAGTCAAGACGTAAAACCAACAAGATTGTAAGTTCCTTCTTACCTGGAATTATGTGTCTCCTATAGACACTGAGTCTGAGAGATTAAGTAACTTAAATAATTCATTCACTCCTTCATTTAACATATTTCTAGAGCGCCTACTGTGCACTTATGGTACTGCTGGGAAGAAAAGAAGAAAAAAGACATGCTCTTGCTTTTGAATCCATATAGCTAATTTATCATTTAGTAGTTTTGGGGACATAACAGAAGCTCAGGAAATGTTTAACTTACTTAATCATTTCTTTTTTCTTTAAGGGGAAAAAAAACCTATCACATCAGCTCTGAAATGAACTAGACATCTGGAATCAGTGATTTAAAAAAAATCAATTGTAAAATTGTAGTTTGGAATTTAGCCAATTGATTTTTCTCTCCTTTTTCCTGGTTTGAAGTTTATTCATCTCTGTTTGATATCTCATTCCACAGTTTCTGGGTTGTTCCCTGCTGCTCGTAAAGGGAATTTTAAAATACAACCTGTGTATAAAACAATATTTTATATTTCTAAAAAAATACTGCAGGAAAACAGGGGACCCATTTATAAATGAAGCATAACAGGAAAAAAGAAACATGACTGGAAAAAATATAGAGAGCTCTTAGCTAAAATAGTAAACAGAATCTCAAAGGCAAAAGACCTCTGAGGCCATAGTCCAACCTGAACGGGAATCTTTTCTACTGAGCTCCTAATAAATAGTCATCAAGCTTCTGCCTAAAGACCTCCAGTGATGGGGTAACTGTTACTTTATGAAGCTCCCTGATCTCCAAGGGTAGAATACATTCCTAACTCACCTCTACTTCATAGAGTCCCTAGCATCCTTCAAAGCCCAGTTCAAGAGCAACCTCTTACAGGAAGCCTATCATGCTTCCCCTGGGTGCTGGTACACTCCCCTTGAGGTTACTGTGTTAAATTTTCTATGTACATTGGTTGTCCCCTTCCAGTCCCCCATGTACATTCCTGGAGGTCAAAGCACTTAAGAAATATTTGTTGAATGAATGAGGTGGCCTAATACACTTCTGAGAGGCTTCTAATTGTTAGTGTCTCCTTTACATTAAGCCCAAATTTGATTCTCAACATTTACCTATTGTTCCTAGTTCAGCCCTTATGGGCCAAGTAGAACACGTCTAATCCATTTTCTTTGGAGAAGGAAATGGCAAACTACTTCAGTATCTTTGCCTAGGAAACCCTAAATGAGGTCTGAAGAGTTGGACATGACTGAAAAAAACAAACAAGTGATTGAATTTAGTTTCTACATGATGCTTGTCTTCAGACACTTAAAGACAGTTAACATGTCCCTCCTAAACTTTCTCTTCTCCATAGTAAACATCTCAAGTTCCCTCAAGGAACTTAGTTACCATTTGTTCTCCAGTTTTCTCACTATTCTAGTCATCCTTTTCTGGGAATTCCCCATTATAACAATTTTACTTACCAGTTTCTTGCCACAAGTTCTCTGCTCTTGGGGAATAGGATATGTGCTAGTTAAATTTTGGATTATAGACAAGGATTGATTCCACAGCGTAGGGAAAACTTGTATTCATCGTTCCAGTGACTACTTCTGAATTGAAAATGGAAGAGAAGTTGTGAAACAATTAATAGAAGAGTTCATTGGCCATTATGAAAACACCCCACTCTTATGTTAATTTTAAAATCACAATAAATATTTATTAATCATCTACTGTGCTCAGCTGCTCCTTATAGGCATTAGAGAAGATATAAAGTTTAGGTAGCACACAATTTCTGCTTTCAAGGAACTTTTAGACAAGTAGAAGGATAAGGTATCTACATAAGATAACCATCATGTTTTGAAAAGAGGTTAGAAATGACTACAGAGCATGTATTATATGTATATGGAATTATATGAACAAAGGGCATGGACATGGAGCTATCAGAGTATACTAGGTGTTGGGGGCTGAGAGCTATCCAGTTTGGATCACACAATGTGAGGAGAGTTATTATGAGATAAAGGTATCTTGGCTTTACATGCAAGGAATTTGAACTTTACTCAAGGGAAAATAAAACCACTCCAGATTTTGGAGCAGAAGACTGATAATATTAGAATCCTATGTTACAAAAGATAAATTTGATGAAGGTCTAATAGCCAAGATGTATAAGGAATTTTATTCAAAGAATTGAGCTTATAGTATATAAGACCAAAAGTTATTGCCTAAAAGATAAATGTACAAAGGATATGACCAAACAATGGATTGTAAAATCTTAACCACACAGAAGAATGCTCTAAATAATTAATAACAAGAGAAGTGAAAATAGAAACAACTCTGAGGTTTTACCTTATACCTACCAAACAGGCAAAGATGGTAAAAGATGGTAATGATTAATGGGTTAATGTTTGAGAGGTTGTGGAATGAGATGAGAAGGAATATTTCTCCTAAGCTTTTCCCCTTATTGTTCAGTAGATTACTTCACAGGGCTAGCTCCAGAAGTGTCTTTACCCAGGAGGAAATGGTTGAAACTCAGGTAGATAAATGACTGAAGTGTCACAAACCTAATTACCAATGATAGGATTTCAAGTATTGTGCTATCACTATTGGAAAATATTGGGTCAAATGAATGTGGCTGGGATCAGCATGGACAAAAGTTTATTGAACCTTTGAATTTAGACACAGTGAACACTTAAAATCCCAAAGCATGATTTAAGCAGCTGCACAGGCCCAAGAAATAGAAAAAGAGATCCAATAAGTTGATCCTGAAGCTTCCCTCAAAATCGATGCATGGATAATAATATAATTCACTTACCTTAGCCTAGATTTTCAGCCTAGCATGACTAAGAATACAATTTATAGTAAATAATGAAGAATTTAATAGTTTAGAAAACATTTCTTTTTCAGAAGATGCCAGGCTGACTTTTCAACTTCTCAAGCAAGCTCTAAGGTCTTTTCCTGATCTAAATGAGCTTATGATGCCAAAGCCATGAACAGATTAGGAACAATGAAGCCTGAGAGGGAACAAAAGGACATGTAGTTTGGTAGAAAAATTATTGGAGGCAAAATAGTTGGAATGGAATGTCCCCTCCATGCATACTAGCTTTGTGATCCTGAGTAAATCAGTTCAATTCTCTGAGCCTCAATTTCCTCACCTGTAAAAGGGGGATTTTGTACTGAAAATGTGCATTCCTATTTGTAGTAGCATTTTTTTCTTGTAGTACAAAGAATTGGAAACAAAGTAGATGTCCATTGATGGAGTAATGGCTAAACAAGGTGTGGTATATGAATTAATGTTATATTATTGAACTGTAAGAAACAATGAATATAAAGAACCATGAGAAGACACACATGACCTGATGCAAAATTAAATAAGCAAGATCAGGGAAACTATATACACCATGACTACAGCAATGTAAATGGCAACAGTAAGCATACAAGTAAAAATGAATCCTGAAATAATAATATTCCAGGTGAGGAAAGTGCTTTTTAAACATTAAAGTTCTATGGAAATGTGAGTCATATCAGAGAAGGCTTCTTGGAGGAGATAGCATTTGAATTGGTTGGGCTTCTAAGGATGGGTTAGATCAGTGGTATCAAACTCATGTAGAAACAGGAGCCTCTAAACTGAACGTAAGGATCACTGCAGGCTACATTTTGACTTAGAAAACCACATATTAACATTATCTACTTTCTATTGTAGTTTTATTTATTTATTGACTATTTCTCAATTACATATTAATCTGGTCCAGGCATACTTAGAAGTGTTGCTAGGTGGCATTTGCATATTTGACACCTCTGGGTTAGTTTCTGAGAAGTGGAGAGATATCATAGAATTGAAGTGTCAGAAGTAAACTCAGAGGACGTCTGGTTCAAACCACACCTAAATGGAATCCTTATTATAACATATGTAACAGTCATCACAGGAATAATGAGGACCCCAACATGAAGACATTAAAGATCAAGAAAAAGCTATGTTAGATAAGACTAGAAAGGTTGTTTGCTTGAAAGACTTTGAATGTCAGGCCAAGGAATGTTACATTTGTTATTTGACAAGGAGCCTTTGAAAGTTTTTGAGAAAGGAAGTAACGTAAATTGACTTGTATGTTAGGAAAATTATTCTGGAAAAAATATAGGATGCATTACAGGGAGGGGAGATTGGAAATGCGAAACCAAAGAGGAGGCTTTTGCAGTAATGGAAGGGAGAAATTACAGTGGTACTAAGGTGGTGACATGTAGCAGTGGAAATGTAGAGGAGGGGATGAACCTAAGACATAATGTGGAGAAATAGCCCAAGGGATTTCATGACTGGGTAGACATAGAGGGCTGTGGAGAAGGAGAAGCCAAAGATAGCTCTTAACTTGTTTGAGCATGGGTGACTGGGAAAATGGTGGTGCCATCATTTGGAGAAATGTTGATAAATTCAGCTTTGGACATGCTGAGTTAAAGGTGTGACATGATGCCTGACCCTCAAGGATCTTATTCTTTAGTTGTGTTTTTGTTGAGGCTAGGGAGCAAAAAAGATTAGGTCAGGAGGGGACATGGTATCTGTGTTTAGGCATTTGAAGGGCTGTCATTTGAAGAAGTTAGACTCGCTTTCCTTAGGTCCAGAGAAAAGAACTTAAAATGAGCAGTGAGGGGATGGTGCAAAGATGCAAATAAGGGCTTGATGTAAGGAAAGACTTCCAAACAATGAAACCTATGCAAAAATAGGAGTTGCCTGAGGAGGTAAGAGGTTCTCCCACCCTGAAAAGGGTGGATGACAACTTAGGCATGTTGTAGAGATCATCTTGCATCATTTTTCAAGTACAGGTTGGACTGGGTGATCACTGAGGTCCCTTCCAACTCTGAGATTCTGTTATTCTGTAGTTTTGGGACAATTAATTCCATGCCTTTTCTCTTGCTGGCCTCCATGCCTGGCCTTCTCTCCCTGCTCACCTCTACCTCCTGGCTTCCCTGGCTTCCTTCAAGATTCAGCTCAAATCCCTCTTTCTACAGGAGGCCTTTTCCACTCCCCTCAAGCTCATGCCTTCCTTCTGAGATTCCCTTCCATTTATACTGTATATATCTTACATGTACAAGTTTTTGTATGTTGTCTCTCCCATCAGAAAACAAGCTTCTTTGGGCATGGACCACGTTTTTTGCATTTCATTTTGTCCCCAGCACACAGCACATTGCTGGGCACATAGTACATGCTAAATAAATTCTTATTGTCTCACTTCTTGAAATATATGAAAAAGGAAAAAAAAAAGTAGTACTAGGCAGCAGATATGTCAAATGAGTGGAATAGGTAAGAATAGTAAGAAGGCTGAAAAATGAAAAATTAACCAGTAATCAATTGATTGATTGAGTTCAGAAGAGAGAGATTGCTGTGGTCCACAATCTATACCAATTAGTTTCTTGGAACTAGAAATTGATACCCAGGTCTGTGTTGACCTATGCAGGGCACCTGTTCCCCTGAGTATAAGTGGAACCTCCTCGTGCACAAGCGTGATAGGTATCTAAGTTACAGTATCCTAAGTGCAGTATCCAGACATTATCTTGTGATCCTCACTTACCTTGTGTGAAAAGGACTCTGGGATTATACAGTTTCTGCTTCCAGCCCTGACATTTTCTCAGCTGTTTTTCTATTCAAGCGATTTTAGCTACTGGGTTTACATTTCCCAAATTCTATTTCATTCTTGCTCCTAGAGACCTTAAAGCAACAGGCAGATTTTAAATAAATCAAATATAATATGTAAATATTTAACTGGCAGAAAATGTTTGATTCTGAATCTTGGCATACATGGGATTATCTTACAATCTTTTGACATTTAAAAATTTTAGTATGATTCTCATACTTTCTCTTCCTGTTCTTCCCTAAGGATGTCAAGACTATACTTTGCAAAGGAGCATAAATTCCACATTTCAAACAACTAATCCACAGAGGGCATTCTGCTTTATGTCCATCTTAACCAGTTAAAAAAAAGAAAATTCCTTGCTCTTGCAATTTTGCTCAGCAAATAAGAATCCTGACCTTCCTTTTAGGCAGTGTTAACTGCATCATCCAATTTCAGTGTTTTCAGAATTGGTGAACCTTATGTGGTGTTGTTGAGTTCATCCATGAGGGAAATGCACTAATGTCTATTGTTACAGTGACTTCCTGTGATTCTATAAGAAATATAATTTTCAGCCTACATGCAGAAACCATCCCATTTGCAAATAGCTCTCTGAAAAATGCCTGAAGGCT